CATCTGCGCATGCCCACTAGTCACCTCCTTTACAGGAGCTACAGCTGGGGCAGCGAATGGGGAATTTGTACGGTTAACATTGTGTGTAAGTGTAGCATTTGTGAAAACAAAAGACACCTAGATTTGGATACAGATCAACCTCATTTTTATTTAGAAAACGTAGTGATCTGTGCATTGTACAGGGAGGAGGCGGGATTCGCCCTCTCGTCCCGGGCGGAGAGATTTTCTCCCCCCGCCAGACAGCTCCGTAAAGACGGAGCACCCCACCCGGCCGCTCTCTGCTGCTGCGGAGCCTGCCGGGGCTGGGCAGCCCGTCCCCGTGAGTGCCGACACGCCGGTTCCACGGGGTGGGCCAAATACCCCTTTCACACCAACGCAACTCCGGTTCAAGCTCCGTGCTAGAGCTTTTCAGGTTCGGAACCGGTACTTCGGTTTAGCTCCGGCTCTTTTCACACCGCTCAGAGACCGACTGGTGCTGCCGCTGCTGCGTCATGACGTCACAGTTTACGTCGCTGATTTTCTCCCCAACGGAGCTCACCTCACAACAACAACGGGCCGGGGACTGCGTTGCTTTTAATCATACGAAGCCAGATTAAATTAAATAACGACTTCTCCAACCTTATACTTTTCTCCAGAGTGCCGTGGTTCATTGTTTATTAATGTGTTTCAGCGGCATTTACCGACCGCTGCAGTGCTGACTGCTCTTCAACGGGAGTGTATTCCCCCGTTAGCTCCGGGTTAGCTCACACGGCTCTAAAGTATTCACTGTCTGACAGTGACTGTCACACAAGCAGCTGTTACATATCCCCAGTTCCCCTTAAGTGAATGTGTGTCAGTCTGAATTGACGCTGTTTGGTGTCAGTCTGAATTGACGCTGTTTGGCATCACAACGCTGTTATGAAAGTTTCTCTGGTATAACATGGGTGATGTTAGCATAGCAACCGAAGCTAAACTGACTACTTGCTAAGCCGTTTTATACAGGCACTTTTTACCGGCGTATTTTTCATTATGATTCTACTTGTGATAGTCGGACATGACAACCTGTGCAGCCCATGTATTGATTCCATCCGATAGCTGCTATAATAACAAACAAAACGTCTGCCTGCTCTCCACAATGATCAATAACAGCGAACGGATGGTCAAAGTAAGGTACAAATAAACAGAATCACACGAAGCCTGGTGAGTGTTGCCTGACTTTATAAAGCGTGTTTTTTTTTTACAAGTGTGTGGTTGCGTTCTAGTCACTTTTGCTCAGCACTACTGCTGGTTACAACTTTTATTTGCCGTACTCGCCTTAACTGTTAGCTCAGGTTAATCTCGCCCCCCTCCGACGTAAGCGGTTCTTGCTTCTACACGGACAACTTTTTGGTGCTCGAAACGAACCGGATTCCGGAGCTTAGAGGCTGCTCCGCTGCGGTGTGAACAGGAAAACCCGGTGCTTTTCAAGCACCAGCACCGAACCGGCCCCGAAACACTGTTGGTGTGAATGGGGTATAAGAGGTGGAGGGCGCCGCGGGCACGGGATCTCCGTGCTGGCACCTCTCCCTTCGTCTCACCGTCGCGCTGCGCTCTCTCGTCTGCAGGCCTGTGGAGTAGAGATGGGCGAGTCCTGATTCATCCGGATCATTAACCCGGATCCTAGAAATGAGCTGGTCGTGACGAGTCTCCCCTCTCCATTAACCCGAGTCCTTGAGTCCCACACTTGGTGTGACGTACAAATTAAAACTATAAATTGCGTCACTCGCTACTCTCTTTATAACATGTAAAATCACATTACAACGTACCCCAGTCCATCTACCTACCCTTTAGCAAGTATACAGGATAGCTGCCTGCCAGAAGTTATCGTTTGGCTCAGGGGAGGGGACGCGGATCAGTGAAACTTCCTGCAGACTCGTGGGGACTCAGAGGAGCCGACGGCTCCTAACCGTAATAGCATAGCAGATCCAGAGATCCATACTCGTCATGTGCACGAGCATAGCCCCTCCTCCAGCACCCGGCTCCCGCGCTATCAACAGCAGACTCGCAGACTCGCAGATTCGCAGATTCGCAGATTCGCAAATCCTGACTCGCTGCAACACACAGCGGATCAGACTCGTGCGGACTCGGAGCCGTAACCATATAGCAGCAGATCCAGAGATCCAGCAGACTCGTCGTCATGCACGAGTCCACAGCAGACTCAGATTCGCAAATCCTGACTCGTGCGGACTCGGAGCCGTATATAGCAGCAGATCCAGAGATCCAGCAGACTCGTCCTCATGCACGAGTCAACAGCAGACTCAGATTCGCCAAATCGCAAAATAACCCTTTTTTTTGTGATCAACATTTTTTATTAAAGCAAAAATACACTGTGTAGCGGAGGTTAATATAACGTCAGTTTAATAGATAGATAGATAGATAGTACTTTATTGATCCCAAATTGGGAAATTGTTGTTACAGCAGCATAAAAGGCATTTTACAATAAAACAAAACTACAAAATATACAAGAATAGAAAGAAAAATAAAATAAAATATAAAATATACATGTCGAAATAGAAAATATACATGCAGATATTATATATATATATATACAAATATATATATATATTCAAAATATATGGAATAATAATATGCTCGTGAAATGCATCAACTTTTCGGTTTCACCAATAGGATTTCTACGGTCTTGGTGATGCTGACTCATATGACTCAAATGACTCGTATGATCCGGATCTCTTCAATGACTGACTCAGAAGACCCTGAGTCCGTAAAAGGATCCGGATTTGCCATCTCTACTGTGGAGGAGTGCGCGCCGCGGTGACTCTTCTCTCTACTGAGGTCTTTGAACGCACCGCGGCCCGCCCTCAGGGGAGGGGGGCCGCGCGCGCCGTCACAATGCCCTCTCTTTGAAACGGACATTATGAGGAAAAGTGGAATTGTGGAGAGAGATGACTCTTACTCTGAGATAAATGCAACCGTGTTTACTGAATGCATTTTCCCACACACACACACACACCACTCCAGAACTAGAGTTTACAAACGTAAACCACCGTTCTCCTGCGGAGGTCCCTGAACGCACCGCGGCCACTCTTACGAGGGCCGCGCGCCCACGTATTAACGCTGTATTTCCCATTCAACGGTGAAATGCATTAATCGGAGCTATTATACCAGGCAAGGTGTGTTTTCTGACAACAGCACGCCGGCAATAGCGTCTCTTGAACCCGCACAGTGCTTTGACAGCACTCGGTTTATCCCACTCACGTGCACATACCCACCTGCTGGCTCCCTATACTGGGGTTTACAGCAGAGGCGGGGAGTGTATGACAGTGTTTCTTCCTCTGGGGATGGGCAAGAAGCAGCCACGCTGCGATTACTCCTTATCCCGTGAGCAAGGAGATCGATCCAAAGAGCCCTTCCGTAAACACGGGGGCTCCCAGGAGATCAACACGGTCCTCTTTGGAAAGTGCCATGCGGCGTGATATCCCAGGGACATCACACGGCAGGCAGCGGCGGCGGTGGCCTGTGATGAAGTAGGGTCGCCCCTATATCATGTGAAGCCACCAAGCACCGGTCCCCCAAAGGGAACCGGGCCTGGGGCAAGGCCCGTGGACCAAGCTACTTATTCGGCCTTGCGGCCCAATAATCGCTCTGACCTTGTGAGGCGGGGGCATCTCTAGCAATGAACGAGTAGCCCACACACCCGCCGCCATGATCATCATCCAGGGAGAGTACAGCCCTGGGCGGTGGACTTCCATGGACGCCGGACCCGGAAGGAATGGCGAACGTGAATTGCACCGCCTCGGCCATATCCTGGTCCCCCACACTCGAAGCAGAGGTGGTGGGGATCGACGCCCGCTATTTAATCCAGGGCATGATTTCAAAAAATACTTGTTTTCTTTCTTCCTTTCTCTCAAATAATACGTCTCGGACTCAGTGCTAGGCTATCACCTCCGCTCGCTGAAGAGTAAAGGATGGTGGTCAGGAGGCGAGGCCTCCTTTTATACGGAAGTGAGATGCGCACGCATTCAGGTAGGCCCGCCCCGGGGCCGGCTACGTCTATAGAAATCTCAGTAGGTGAATGCTTGCATGATAAGGTAGTACCCATAGAGTCCAGTAGAGGGCGGAGCCTGTGAGAGATATAACCTCTGTTTCCTTGAATTTGAGTAGAACAAGCAGATTTCTCTGGTCAAATGCTTACCCAACACAGGCAATTTCGCTTAAAACGTACTATTTAACGGTTAAAATATCAGACGTTTTTGAGATTGTGTGCTTATACTGTAGTCTTAGCCTGCTCTAACCTGGCTCAGAAATATTAACGAAAGTCTGCAATCCCCGGGTCTAGACTTTCTAATGAAGGAAATATCTAAGTGGTTTCTCTGTGCCCTGTCACATTTCAGTTCTTCATTGTTTTGTCCCAATCATTTTGATGTTGAAAAAGGAAAGAGCCTTCAAATGTTGGCACGGACAGGATTGTCCACATACTTGAGGAGACTATAATTCAGATAGTGGCTCTCAGCAACATAAATGTTCCACAACAGATCCAGAAACGATGTTCAGTTTTCAGAACAATCCATGGATTCCGAAGTGGACAGTTTTTGGGATAATTTCTTTAACCGAAAGGAGTTGCTTTTTTCAAATGTAATTCTTCCATCATCCAAACTAAAATAGATTAATTTCAATTTCCTGTCCAGTGAAGATGGAACCACCAAGAGTCGTTAATCTTTTTCTCTTTCTGTTTACATTGCCTTGCCAACTGTCTGAAGTCCACCCAGCATTCCCAAGTCGGACTTTCTCCTCAAATTGGAATACTTGTTTTAGTGCTGTCTATCAGTCATTTATTTAGTTTCCCCCTACCCTACTTTTTGGGTGACTGATTAGTGCCACTTATCTCCCTTTTTACTGTTTTGGGTAATCCTCCTAGTTGTGTTTTTGTGTCGACATCCTAGGTTCCTCTGCCTCCCCTGGAGTCTTTTTGTTGGCAGATACCCTTCTGTCCTTGCCACTGAGAAGTGTATGTGTATTTTTAGGTTACATCTACAGGAACTGCACCGAGGATGGCTGGTCTGATCTCTACCCCTCCTATGAGGACGCCTGCGAGTTCACAGAGTACGAAGAGACAGAACCAGAGGTAGCTATTTGAATTGATTACTACTGTGAAATATTCTACAGGTAAATAAACGGCACCATCTGTCAGTCCATTATCATCAGGTTTTTTGTCTGGTTGACATTGTGTGAATATGTTAATGATACCAAAACATATTGATATAATTTACAGCATCACTACTGGCGGATATTTGAGGACTAATCTTTTTCTTCTTTTTTTTCATAGAAAGATTAATATTTTAAACAAGGAATTTTGATTACTAGCCTTCCAATACTCAGCCAATGATTTTGCTTTTAATGGTTAAGTAGTAAGGCCAAAGATGTACTCACGATACAGATATTATTTGAGGCAGTGTTAAAAAGATTATTTTTCTGAGGCATCAACATGAACCTTCCTAAACTGTCAAAGCTGGTATAAGGTCAACAAAATGTCCTATTTTTAACATGAAAAACGGTCTCTTGCTGTTGAGGAAATGTTGACTTTCTATGTGAAGCAAAAGAGTAAGAAAGCGATGTTGTACAGACTGTCTGGGAAGAGGTCAGGATGAATAATTAGAGCGCCTGTTCTCACTGCTTTTCCTAAGAAGAATGTTGTAAAATCAATCTATCTTATTACAAGTGCAAATCCTCTGTCAAAGGTGAACAAAAATAGACTCGAAAATGTAATAACTTGTGGTGCAGTTTCTTAAAGTGAAGAATCGAGCAACACACTATGAGTGTGGACGGCATATTTAAAATTAATCCTAAACCATCATCAAATAACTCCCTAAAGTTTCGGATTAACCTCAACCCTTTTAAAGTAGTGTATAGCGCTAACCAGTTGATTTTGTTATCTACTATACTTTGTGTCTCTTCAGGGCCGCCCCTCCCCACATCTTATGCGCAAATGTGGCGCAATTATGTGCACCACAGGGGGGGTGGGGGAGAGGGGGGGGGGGGGGGGGTGGGTGTGGTGCTCATGACAACATTTCACCTAGGGCCAGGGACAGCACTGTACCTCACTGTATAACACACCGCCAGCCAGAATGACTACCCTTACAAATCTTTTTTTTTTGCATCCCATTGGCAATGAATGTGGCTGTGGCAGATTTACAAGGGCTACAAAGGACTTTACAGGAAGTTAGTAATCTTCGCATTCGAGAAATGTATTGAAGGTCCACTAATACTAGTTACAAAGCCAGATTTGGAAGCCTGCAATTCTGGCTTTTCCTGCCCTAAACCCTAGCCCTAACCAATTTCATACAAGTGTAAGCTACATTTCACTTACTGTAGATCACACTGTTCAACTTAGTTTTCTCATAACATTAATTAGCACTTAGGATGGGTTTGAATAGTGTGAGTGAGCAATTAACAGTTATTACGTACAATATATGCTAACATTTGTTGTTTTTTTGTTTGTTTTTTCAGACAACATACTTCTCAAACTTCAAACAGGTGTACACCGCTGGCTACGCTACCTCCCTCATCTCTCTTATATCAGCTATTTTTGTCTTCACTGTTTTCAGGTAAGACTGAAATCTGTCTTTTTTTATTAAAGCATGACCATGATTGAGCAGTAAGCTTAAGAATATGTTTATTATTGTAAACATGATGACAAAGGTCAATAACCTTAACAAAGTAAGGTTTAGTTTCTCTAAATGTAACCTAATGATTTTTGTTCCTGAACCTATCCAAACCATTTTAAACATAATATGCGTACTTAGCATTCATTTGAAACCGTTTTGGATACAGATTGGTACAGATAAAAATGCATGAACATAAGAGTATGGAGACGGCATATTGAAAAGTTATAATTTTTTTCCTGTATTTCAAGGACGCAGTTGTTTTCCCTTCAAAATATACTTGCTATACTTAACTCAAAACACAATGTCCAAAGCTACCAGGCTTACAAATAATTTCTTGCATATACCCTACATGTGTTTACAAAGATATACCTCCTTTTAAGAAATGAAAAACGTTTTTTTTTGCGTTCTCAGGAAGTTTCACTGCACCAGGAATTACATCCACATGAACCTTTTCTTCTCCTTCATCCTGAGAGCGAGCGCTGTCTTCATTAAAGATGGCGTTCTTTTTTCAGATGTAAACCTGGACCACTGCTCCATGTCCACTGTGAGTGTGAAACCCCACTGTAGGTCCATTAGTGTGTCTATATTTACCCATGAAGGACTCATCCTTTACAAATGTGAAACCATGGCTTCAATTCGATATAGAAAGAAAACGGGTCACGCAACAAGTAGTTTTGTCCTGTATTCTAAAATCCAGCTTGGAAGGAAACACATAAAGCAGTCAAATGCTCTCATGTCTCAAAAGTGAAGAGTGAAGATGAGGAGAGCGACGTTTTTGGTTAGGTAACACTTTCGGGAATCCTAGGGATTGTGGTACTTTTAGATCAGTTAAAAAAATTACAAGGAAATAAAGTACTAATATATAAAGAATTATAATTTAAATGAAAGGAAGGAAATCAGAGAGGAAAGAAGATGAGGACAAAAGTAAAATGGGAAGAAAGGATAAAGAAAGAAATCAATATTTTATCTCAGGTGGGATGTACAGAATTAGGATTGATAGAATAAATCACAAAAACTTGAAACTAAATGACTTCTTTCATGTGATACAGTCTGTTGGTTGTGTGAGGAGGAAAGATAACCTGCATGTTGTTTTACTGGCACGAATCTCACAAACTCATAAGAGCTTATTATCATAGAGGGCGAAAACGAATAGGCTTGACATGCTGGGAGTGACTAAGCGGAGCCTGAGAGAGCATTAATGACAAGTGTTTCTCCTACTTTTCTACTGATGAGGACGCATGGAGAAATGATAAGTGCCCCTCTTGTTTGGCTATGAGGGACCAGCGTCAGCAAATCACCATCACTGCTTTGGTCAAAAAGAGCCATCAGAGAGACAAGAAGACGAGACAAAGCTGCTGTGCTCTATCTGAACCAAAAACAAAACTCGGAGGGAAAAGACAGGAAAATAGTGACAGGAAAATTGCTGAAAAATAGATCAGGAGTTGGTGTTGTTTAGAATGAGATTTCACCAGCCAAACACTACATTTGGCCACACACATTGATGTGTTCATATCCTCATGCTTTTTCTCATGTAGTAAAGGAATTATTGTTTGAAATTATGAACTAAAAAGCATTCATCTGATCTGCTTGTCAAAGTATGTTTTTATAACAGGAATCTAAAAAAGGTTATACTTAGGACATTACTGTAGTATCAACCGAAAGCTAACCTATAAATCTTCTTTACAAGAACAATAAGTTAGCTCCTTTATTGTCCTCTACAGGGATCATCAGTTGGCTAACTTTTTGCACGTAGCATGTAGCTTTAGCCTGAGTCCTTTAGCATTATTATTATTATGCATCAAATGCATATTTAACACCTTTCACAGGCTTCTCATTTAAAATGAAGCAGCTAGAGGCAATACTGAAATGTAATAAAACCTTAACCAAATTCTTTCTTTCTTTTCAATAAAAGAGGGAATTAAATATAGATGGTTTATATATCATATTTGTTTTCCCAATGCAGCAGTTTTGTGTAATGTGCATGTGATTTCATGACTATACTGTCAGGTGTCAGGATGACTTGAGCTACATTCACAAGATACGCGGTAAAACAGCTATTTACAGTTAACGTTTTCATACGTAACCAATCAGATAGAAGTTGAAAGAAGCGGCGCAAGCTAGCAAGTGAGGTAAACAGAAACATTACTTAAATAGCTGTGTTTCCCACAAGGCTCTTGTTAGGATTTGTTAAACCCAGAGACTAGGATAAACTGAAAAGAGTACAAGGAAGCTTATAAAAGTTAACAGCATTTAATTAAACAAATAATGCGATGATACACAATGAAATTTGCGAGTTGGTGGCTCCCCCCCTCCCAGCTGTTGGTCCCGTTCGCGTTGGGGCAGCGGATGGTGAAGAAGAGATCGATTCTCCCTGTCCATCACGGGTTATCAACTGTAGTCTTCTCCTATTGGCCGGCGTCGACGGGTGCGGGTCCGAGGCAATTCCTGTCGTTTTTCTGGTGTTAAATTGCAGCATTCTAATGTCTGTGGTTAAAAAACATTCCCTAATAACAGTATTGCAGCGTGAGCGTCAATAAATGAGTGTTAAAGACAGTATGTTTAGTGTACAACACTATGTGTCATTTAACCTTGAATTCACTTTTTCAAAACGTAGTCTTTAGCCACATGCTAATGCTAACCGGAAATGAAGAATTTTCAGAATAAAAGTTTTAAATTGAAAGTGTGTGTGAACTTCCGGTTTTCCAGAATAAAACAGTTTTAAATTACAACAGTGTATTTAATTTAAATTACACCATATCAACATTGATTTTATTTCTTACACTCTGCATCCAACCTCGCTGTGAGCAGGGTGCAAACCGCTAATCATGTGAATGTAGCCTTAGAGTAATTTACTTACTTATGTTTAAGTTTAAAACAATATGGCTGAGAGAAACATGCAATATTTTGGCATGACTAGTTTGAATAAACAGTAACCAAAATGTACAGATTTATAATTTACCTTATAGGTAAGACGACCTGTTTGGACGCCATGCTAAGCTTACACATCCTAGACCAGGGCTCTCCAACACGTCGATCAGGCAGCTTTTCAGTTGCTCGCCGCTCGATTATCGATTATAGCATTTTTCGGCCGCGGCTGGACAATAAGGTTTTTTATTTTAGAATTTGTTCTGTCACACGAATATCAAATTGGTCGGTGACGCAGAGATCAAGGAACAGACGTGACAGCGACACAGCGACACCACACACGGAGCAGTCTCCTTTCTCCACCAACACCAGTCCAGAACTAACAGCAGAATGACCCGCTCCGCTCTGAATCAGGCACTGTCGCTGCGGCTCAGAGACACACGAGGGATTTGTGTTTTTTGAAAAACACTCGTTATCGTCATGTCAGGCCCCCTCCCTGAAAATAATGAGTGACAAGCTGATAGTGACCCAATAGAAACTTTATTATTCACTTAATCACTGATTGAGATATGATGAAGCTAACTTAATCTCATACATTCATGGGATTTATGTAACAGTAAGACAGAGAATGTAAGTGTGCACCCATATGCACTATTTTAGTTTTTATAATGATGTTGTAAATACTCCTGTTGTCTGCTATGTTCAGACTTAAGTCATGTGTGTGATGCCACATTCAAGACATTCAGTGTCTTTTTTTTAACAGAAGACCGTTGCTAGAAGCTGCAGCTAGACTGCAGAAGTATTAGTTTTTTGTTTTTGAGGATGGAACAATTTCACACACAGATATAGGGAGGCTAGACCTATACAATTGATTTATTGTGGTTTATAATTTAATGTCAAGACGAAGAAGAAGAAGAAAAAGATGGCTGAACTGTTCAGTGTCAATCCTGTGGAGACGGAGATGGAGATTATAAATCTCCAAAATAATGTTCAGCTTAAGTCTCAGCAAAACTCACAACATTTCTGGAGCCTTGTAGACCCAGAAAACTATAAGAACATTCACCAAGCAGCACTGAAAATGTTTGCTTTATTTGGCTCTACTTTGTGAAGCAGCTTTTTCTGACATGAATGTCATGAAATCTAAATACAGAACAAGAATGACTGAAGAACATATAAATGACTCTATTAGAGTGAACCTAAGTAGGTACACTCCAGCATACACCTCTATGGTGGACTCCATGCAGCGCCACTCATCTCACCAACTGTGAAAAAGAGTGAATGCACTTATTTTACAACCATAAGATGCTTGTAAGGTGGTGATTAAGGACACTTATGTGAATGTTCAGTGATGTACTTACGTGGGCCATAATATGTGAGAAATGTTCGTTTTCTTGGAACTTGATGTGAAGTTAAGATTTTTGATAAGCTTTAGGTATTGCAATTTCACATGTGTACAAAAGTATAGCTTAATTCAACTGATGAGGGCTATGTGAATAAATGTAAGCGATGTGATGCAAGTTGCTCTTGGCCACTTTCATTTTTTCAAAGTAGCTCTCAGATGAAGAAAGGTTGGAGACCCCTGTCCTAGACAGATCTCTCTACTCTATACTTGCTTGAACCAATAGAAACTAATTCATGAACTCTCTTGCCACCTCAACTTCTTTTACAGTGTTTCGTTGTGAATCACAGTCATGTGTTAAGCATAGCTATCCACTACCAACTCCTGAAAAAACTAAGCTTTAGTCTGCAGTTAGAACCAGTTGATGGAAAACATAATTCTCATTTCGTTATGCAACAATTCTAATGCAATTTCTTTTTGCCCTAACCCTAACCCTCGTCCCACAGCCGTCCTGTAAATCAGCTGTGGCCTTTTTCCAGTTCAGTATCCTAGCCAACTACTTCTGGCTTCTGGTGGAGGGCATGTACCTGCAGACGCTGCTTGCTCTCACCTTTGTCTTCCAGAAGAAATACTTCTGGTGGTACATACTCATCGGCTGGGGTGGGCAATCTTTCTCTTTCACCTTTCAGTGTTTGCTTTAATTTTCTACCTTCCCTCCTCTCTTTGGTTCTTGTTAGAGCTCTGTGTTTTCTCTCTCTTAATGATAACACTGTGTTTGTATCTCCAAGGTCTCCCAACAACGATCATAATGGCGTGGATCCTCACTCGAAACTTCTACGATAACAAGGGGTGAGCTTCTGCGGGAGAAAATCTGAGAACATTTATAGGAGCAGAAAGGGTTTTCTAATTACTTTTACGTACACCTGTTAAATCAAAAACACTCAGAAGGGTTGAAAGCTGACAAATTAGAGTTAATCTTTAGATAGTTCAATTTAGGATTGCTTCTTATATTTCTAACACACTGTTCTAGCTGAGGTTAGTGTGTTTTCGTGGGTTAGTGTGTTTTCGTGTGTGTAGTGTTGAGATGAACAAAATTGCACCCATGTAACCACCTTGTTTATCTCATTACTGTTGTGTGTCCCAGGTGTTGGGATGACACAGATGTGGCCTTCATCTGGTGGATCATAAAAGCTCCAATAACTGCATCACTACTGGTGAGTGCAGCACAGTAACAATGGGAGCTATTGAGGAATTATAAGAGTCCTCAATCTTGGATAGGGCCTGTATGACTCTTTGGCACTGCTGTAGAAACGTATTTTGTGTTCTCATTAGATTTAACAAAAGCACATTTGTTGGTGCATTTCCTACATGCATGGAAGCAGGTAAAAATGGCAGAGTGCCAAGAAAGGCTTGTTATCTTTGTCTGTTAACAGCAAAAACAGTGGACTTCGTTTTTCCCCAGTTTGAAATGGGGTTGATTTTAGGGTTAGTAGGTAATGGCTGACAATAGACCATGAAAGATATATGTGTGACACCTCTTTGCTATTGGTTAAGGCTGCGACTTCGCCAAAGTTTCCCAAAAGAACAACTCAACGCGATACAAGGTTCAAATTTGAAGTTGTTCAATTTCAACTGAACAAGAGGCAAATATTAGCCAATGGTAATTTTGCGCATGTGTAACCATGCCCTCAGTGGTGGCCGAGTGTTTTTATTCTGCCATCAACAAAACAAAATAAAGAGTGGAACTTTTTCCCCTTTTTCATTCAATTTTCCAAAGGTATGACTGCGGGCCAGCCAATAACAATTGCTACAGTTGTAGCATATACTGTGTTGGCTTTGTGTTTTTCTTTAGGTCTTTCTTTGTTTCATGTAGGTAAACTTCATCATCTTCATTAACGTGATCAGGATTCTGGTCCAGAAGCTGACATCTCCCGGTGTCGGTGGCAATGACACCAGTCACTTCAAGTGAGAAGAGATTACATTCAGCTTCACTTTAAGATATGCACAAACACATTCAGCAATTGTATGTCTTTTTCATGGGTATCTTTTTTTTACAATGTGCGCAGGAGGCTTGCCAAATCCACTCTGCTCCTCATCCCTCTGTTTGGGATGCACTACATGGTGTTTGCCTTCCTGCCAGAGAACACAGGAGCAGAGGCACGGATCTTCATAGAGCTCGGCCTTGGATCCTTTCAGGTACAACACACAACACTGGTACAAACTTAAGTATCAACACTGAGATATTGGAGATTCAAGTTTGCTCCGGATGTGCGTTTTTAATATTTAATACTGTTCCTATAATACTTTTCTGCTCTGAAGGGATTCGTTGTTGCCCTGCTCTACTGTTTCCTGAATGGCGAGGTAAGTCAATACTATACTTTATATGCAGGCTTATAATTAAATAATTCATATGATCTCATTGGAATTGGTTATGGAGGGCAACATCCTTAATTATTACTATTGCAAACATACCTGAAGTTTAGTTAACATGTGTTAACAAGTAAAGGACCATAACATTGGTTTTGCATGTCAACCAACAAGTTGTTCATATTTTAAATATATATATATTATTCATAGTATATTTATGAAGTTTCGTAATAAATGTTTCAGATCTGGACATGTCTCATAGTATTGGTCTCATTCAGTAATATGTGAATTTGAAGACATTGAGACAGCGTGTCCAGGGTGCAGGCATTAAAGGCACAGAAGTGTTTCTATGGGAATGACGATGATATTAAAATCTTTGGCCGCAATAACAGAGGTGGCAAAGTTGTATCCCCTGATGACTGAGGCAAATTCGAGAAAGATATAAATGGTTTGTCATTAAAAAAAATGAGTAAGAAAAGAAACACATGAAGAAATAAGGAAAAGGAAACAAGTGAAAGAACAGGAAAGATATATTTAATCATTTCCGAAATTCACAAAGGTTATTATCCAACCAAAATATTTGTAAGTGTTTAGCCTTTAAAAACAAAGGATTTGCGTGGAGTTTATTCTCACTGTTGCTGCACTCATCCATTTTGAGGTGATATCATCATAAAATATGACATCAAACATTAAAAACATAATTGTAAAATCTCAATAGCGGCTATAAAACGTATGAAAAAATACCATTCTTGATGAGAATGAAAGTGCATCGATTTCACAGGTATTAAATACATTGGCCAAATAAGTAAACAGTTTTCTAAACATGCTCAAAGAGGTACGTTTATATAAGGACTGTTGGCTGTCTGTTTGCATGATGTGAAGAAGTCTTAATGTGTTTGCAGAGTAGTAGTATGGTATGGTATATTTGGTAACGTTTGGCTCATAATATGTATAAAGAAGTTGGATTCATTGTTATAATTTATTTTATTCTTGTTTGGGATTCTCACCACTTTTATTTTCAGATGAAGCACAAATAAATTAAAGCAGCTCCAAGCAGATGCTTTTGTAAAAACTGGTGTGACTCTGGTCAGGGCCTCCACACTCACACAGGTGTTTTCACTCCCTGGTTGATTAGGGTTCTAACTACAGGTTAAAAGAGATGCGGTCTAATCAGGCAAAACAAGTGAAAACACCTGTGAGGACATGCAGAACAATAGTTTATTTTCTGAGAAATAACAAAAATATACTTGATTTTTTCAAATCAGGCTAAAATTCTATGGTATGTTTTTGAAAAGAATCCGAAAGTGTATTTTTAGTCCAGGAAGAAGAAAAAAGCCTGTTACAGACCAAGATGTACCTTTTAGAGAAGAACACAATGCGATATGGTCTCTTAAGCATTCCATCGGTTTTTATTTATGTATGTTTTTTGTAGGTGCAGGCAGAGCTTAAGAAGAGGTTTTGGAAGTGGCAGACTCAGAAGTACCTGCGCTACAGTAAACGGCGTCGTACGTTGTTCACTGAAAGCAGCACGATCACACAGATCTCCGTCCTGGACAAATCCAGCCCCAAAGATCAGCCGGCCTCAGAGACACACACCCTCACGCCCAGCAACGTGTCCAGCGTCTAAGGCACAGCTGTTCATGTAAACTGCTCGGCATCTGGCCGACGTCCAGTGACCAAACCACAGAGCCTAAGAATGTTCAAGGTACCTCGTAACTCCGTACGGTACGAATGTGTTGCAGAATCTTACATGGGCTGCCTCATATACAACCAAACTTGTTGACTTATGCCTAACTTTTTCGATTCCCATTATCCCACACTCCTTTCCCCCATAATATGAATTAATTTCTAACTAAAAGGCTTCATATGGGCAAGACACAGAGGTCAAATATTTTATTGATTTGGTATCATAGGAAAGATTTAGCTTTGGGGTCATCCTACACATCTTACTCACAACCAGCAAATTGTTACTCTGTATTTACAAAAGTAACAGATGTGGCTTCAAAACGTTGTCATTGTTTAAACATAAATCAATAGAAAATCATCTATATAAGTAACAATTTACATAATTTGTTCTGTCACAGCTCTTTCAATGCTCTGGTTTTTGATACATTGTTGTGTTTGTGTTGTTTTGGTTCTTATTTGTGTTTGTGAGGACAGCCACAAATGTGTTTGCTAAGTAAGTTCAAACTTAAGTGGGTCGGGTGAATTACCTATAAGGGTTACAATACGGCAGTTTTCACTTGGGTTGAAGCTGTTAAAAAGCAGAATGGTTTAATTATCAAACACCCAACACAGTCTAAAATATCTGATTAAGTTTATCTACCAAGTTGTTCATTTCGCACATGTCACAAGCGCTGAAGGGCATGCTGTCTACAAGACATTCTCACCAACACATTTCTTGAGGTTCAATGTCAAGATAATTATTGTTCGTATTCATTCAGTGCCACTAGTCTCTTGAATGTTGGGCAAGTTGGGAAAATGATCTGTTTAATAGAATATGCCCGTGTTACCATAAGTGGCATGCAACATGTTGCACAGTGCACTAGTGCACATCTGGAGCACTTGACTGTAAAAGCTATTTATTTGTCTGATTAATGTTTCTCCGCTTTGTGTGAATGTAAATAGACTGGAACTAAGTTTATAGCAACGGAACAGTCCATCTAACAGATTTATAAATCACATAGAATGACCTTGTTACTGTAAAGAAAAAAAAAGAAAAAAAAAAAGCGATTTAAAAACGTGGGTTGAAATGAATAAGTTGGTGTTTATATGTTATATATTTTTCTGAATTATACATGTTTGTTATTCTACTATTCTTATATGTAATATTACAAAATATGAATAAGATTCTAATGTATATTTCTGTATTAGTTAGTGTAAGTGATGCCCAGTTGCTGATCGCTGTGCTAAAGCTAATGCTAATCCAGAACCTGAGGAATAACTTCAAGTTGGTGAAATGCAGTTTTTGTGTATCTATGCCTTGAATTCATATATAGTGTTTCTAATTTGGTAAATAGTTAGCAAGTCAGCACACTCATTACTTATATTTACAGGAAATATTTCATTACTCTGCTTCTGACCGCTACAGTGCCTTGATCATACAGTAACTCAGTGTTTCAGTAGGTTTGCATTTAAAATCTGTGTATCAACATCATATATTTAAGATGGTGATGCTAAACTCTGTCTTTACTGTGCAGCACAACAGATGTGCTTCTGTGGCAAAATATATGATGAGAACTGTGTTTGAATTACAAAAACAAAACTTTCATCGAATGTTAAATTGTGCAGTGGGGAAGTGAAGGGAGATATTAACTGAGAATGTTCAATGTGATGTTTTGCGTAGAAAGCTTCTCATGATGTGTCTGGACTTTGCTTTTTAGATTACATTCCTTTACAGTGTTATTTCTCCTTCTCAGTTGAGAAAGTGATGTTTCTTTTACAGGTTCCGGGTTTACTACGAGAATGCAAGTTTCTCATGTGGTGTCTTCTTCTTTGGGTTGGGGGTGAACATTACAGGACCAGGCTGTTGATCATATATCATTTTGTAACTGTTAATGTCCCATGAAAAGCCAAAAATGGTGAATGTCTTGGTCCATCTCTCCATACTTTCTATCATCCCTGCCCTGTTTGTGGAACACAGCCTTATCCCAATGATTCCTAGAATTTAATCTTAAAAATAACTTCTAATTTCTAGAAAACATGTTCGTTTTTGTCAACTGATCCAAACACATTAATACCCAATCATAATCATTACCATTTACACACACATTGTAGTTTATTTGACACTTATTCCCAATACACTGTTCTGCTGCCACATATAAACTGGAAATCACCAAATGTGGATTCTTCCGCCCCTGAAAATAGTCCCAAACCCAAACGATGCACTGCTTCCTCCTGTTTGAGAGGCAGTTGCTAACTCAATCGACTGGCTGCTTACTGAGTCTTTTTCACAATGGATATTTTGAAGTTATTTTAAAGATTTAAAAAGGGAAGAGGAAATGAAAAGTACTGAGGTGGACTAACACATGTTGATGTTGGTAGTTTCACAGGCTTTCCTCACATAAAAAACTTATTATAACACCAGCCTTATCCTTCAAACCAAAACACTTGTGAGTATTTACAACACAAAACAACATTAAGCCAACAAGTTAAAAACATTTATTGTCGATACTTCCATAATGTACAAAAGAAACTCATCTCTTGTGCACACCAAAACAACATTAAATGGTGCACTGTGCAGTGAAATAGATCAAATGAAAAGAGAGCTCATGAGCAAACGTTAGCAGGCTCGCAGCGGAGTGCTTTAGGTTACTTTTACATTCAGCCATTAGTACACAAAGTGCTGAGCCCCATTTTTATTTTTATTTCTAACAGGCTACCGTCACAAATAAGCATTTCAATAAAGATAACCACTTTTAAAAAGCTGAAAAGGAAAAACATTTGAAAACAGGTCATGCTATAAAGTAAAAATCAAAGAGTACAGACGGTTTTTATGGCACTTCACTTTTCCTCATGTCTGCAAAGATTACAATCAAAGGAAAAGTATTCCATGGGCCCTATTTGATAATTGTTCACAGTTGAAACACAATATGCATGTTCGAGCTCATTAATTGCCTCATCCATTTAAAAACAAGCAAGCAGCTCAGATTCCCTTAATGGCCTGAAAGCTTGTTCCTCTCTTTGTTATTACATCTGCCGGTCAAAATGAGGTCAAAACGATTTTACGCGCATGCATCAGCCTTTTAGAGAGTACAGAGGCATTACAGGAGGCTTTATAGTTGAAGCAAACACGATCACCATTACCAAAAAACAATGAAATATAGGAAAACTATCACAGCGCAACGTTTTTAAATGACAGTTATTCACTTTGAACCACAGAAAACGGCATTTACAAGGAACAACGTCAGCAGCTTGTTTCTGTCTCGCACATTTAAACTGCAGTTTATTTAGTCACAAAGGTTGGCTACAGACCTTTTTTCAAACACTTCAACTAACTACTTCATAGTTCAAAAACAACAGGCTCAAATGAATATTTACTCTTTTAATAATAGCAACATCTTTGTCTGACATCAACATAGTACTGGCAATATAAGGCTCCAACTCCCATATTAACACTAAAGGAAATAATTTAGAAATATGTCAAAAGCAGTGGGCGCATGTGCCGGTGAGATTGTCAAAAATGTCTGTGATGAATTTAACTGAATATTTGACCGAAGTAGAGTGGGTCGTGATTGTCACGCCCTTCACTTATTATAGCATGTCACTCTGAATACACACAGCAGACCAATACAGTTTCAGGTCAGCCCTTCTTTGTCATGGTCTGGACTCCCAAGAAGGAATGCATTTTGGCAATTTGCAGGTCAAGAGATGAGTTGACATTCTGAGCAAAACTGAACAAAAATCGAATTGAGAAGGGAAAGTAAGGGCGTTAAGATTTACTGCTACGATAAATGAGATGTTTACTCCAAAAAAATTATAATTTGAGGAACATAGGATAATATTCTGTCAATAATAGAGCGCCTCCTAAATCATTTATGTTTCTCTTTTCACAGATATGGTTTTAGAGATGCTTTACCATCTCCCTACATCCATGTTTCAAGTGTTGGCCATAAGCCAAGAAAGAGACAAAACAAATGTTTTACATTTAAGATAACTGTAAAATGTCAAATGGAAAATGGGGGTAACTGGACTCATAACCTTAAACCCAGGTTGATCCCAGAGAAAGTAAACGCTTGAATAATTTTGTTATTTTTTTCTATCTATAAAAAAGTGTTATTATTTAACAACATTTTGTCACCTTTAGGACTCCGTACTTGACATCTCTTTATCTGCAAATTACCAAAACAATGTTTTTGTGTGACTTTAAAGAGCAGAAAACTCAATATTTGATGATAGTGTATGCTCGGCTGAGCAGACGTCCGTTACAATTATTATCAGTCATAAATAATGTGGAGTCAAAGATGAAACAGTAAGTACATGTAAATCAACGATTTCAGCTCTAGTTTGTCTTTTAAAATACAATTGCAGCTAGACCAAATTATTTCTGTCTTTTCAAATATGGACTCGTATTTAGGGAACATTTTGAAGAATTAAACAATACTAGGATTTCATAAAGAAAAGAAAGAAAAGAGGTTCAGGTGCGTGACTGTTTAACTTTCCCTTTTCCGCTAAGAAGTAAAAATGAAGGATGTGTAGGGGAACTAAAACCTATTTCTTAATGTGTTCATGTAATATACTGTACAGTCACTGACGTAGTTAGTCTGTAGCGTTGCTTTATTTAAAACACCAATCGGTCGTATGTTTTGTTCATCTTTAGCAAAGACAACTTAAAGTACTTCGAAGGCCTCCAGGTTTAAAATACTGATTTAGTCTTAAGCATCATAAAAGCACTTTGTTCAACCACGTTCTATTCTTTGCAGATTCGTTTTGAAATGAAAAAGGACAAATTAAAATACTTGTTTGGTGCTTAAAGGCACTTTTGGAGACAAAAGAGTAGAACGTAGGGATTTAGAGGATAGTCAGACCAAAAGAAACATCAGCAATGACATCGAATGCAAAGCTAACACAGCCTTCGCAAACAGATACGGCCGTGCAAAAAGTCAAGTAATTGGTCTTTGGAGTTACAGTATTACCCCCGATTTAAAAGTCCCCACAAAGAGTAACGACTATGTGCTTGTCTTCAAGCGTAAAGAGAGCAAATGCCACGAGAGTTGCAAACTGCTGAAAGACATAGAGATACTGGTACGAGGGATTTGTCTGAAGAAGCCCTCATTAATCAGAATGAAAACTGATTATTCATATGGTCGTTTTTTTCAGAAACAAATCTGGAAATCTTCTCCAAAAAGCAGTGAAGTGCTTTCTGATGGTCAAGTACAATGTTGAAATGTCCTGTAGGAGCCCTGTTGAAGAGGCTTGGCTTTACAAAGTGACAAGAGAATCTGTATTACAGCGCATAGCCTCCACAACAGCCCGAAATACATTTCTTGAAGAAAAATAAACTTTAACACCACTGAATTATCACCAAAAAAGTAACACTAAATCACATGGACAATAAATGCAAGTTCATGCAAGCAGTTGAACTCATGATGCTTTCTTCCATGAGTATCATTGACATTTTCTGTACTAACGGCTGTTTAAAACTACAGACGCACTCCAAAAGTATTCCTCTCAGAGGTCAAGTTTCCAGTGCTGAGATTTAAAAGAGAGGTTTGTGGTCGTCATCGGCAAACCTCAGCACTGCGAAGACATCTGAAGAATAGTTATCATTATTTAACCCTGGTATGTTTTTTTCTCTCTTTTTGGCAATTCACATAAATGGAAAAAAGATGTCCTTCTCATAAATACTGCTTTTCTCCACCTTGTTAGATCCAGGTGAAATTTCACCTTCGACATTCCTCAGCCTGTTTGTCTTCATCTCTTTGTTTTACATCAGTCACAGTTTACACAGGAAACAAAGGCTTGTTACAGTAGTGGGGAATAGTCTGAATGTGTTCAATAAGTGTGGGTATGACCTGGGGTCCATAATGTTTGAGCTCAATAAATAACATTGATTTGATGGTGAGAAGTTCAAATTTCTAACACTGACTTAAGCTTGAACCTTCATTCTTACATTTCCGTCAACATATTTATAAAAAACGTCCCAGTTAAGGTATCTACTGTACATCAGGGCGGGTCAGAATATTAGCAGCCGGGATATCAAGAATTTGAGGGGGAAACTCTAGAAAACTCTGTGTAATACACAGGAAAACTGACTCTTTTAGACAGCATGCCATCATTTTATAAATCAGGTTTTCACATAAAAAGGCTAAATGCCAAGCTTTAGCTAAAATAACTCTGATGTCATCACACTGCCATCGCTAAGGGTTATCCTTTTCAGTCCTCAACGGGATAAACTTAATGTGTAAAATCAGCAGAGTTTCCCTTTACGGTGTTCACATGAATAACGGAACCATTTCAAATGGCATGGCAGCTGGGAAGCCTGCATCTAAAGAGCAATACAGTGTATAGATACAGTCTAAAAACACATTTTAAAGAAAGGGTGAACTAGAGAATTGTTTTTAAAAACGCGTTCTCAGACTGACTGGAATGATCACTGTGAGGGGGCTGCAGAAATAAACCACCCCCCCAACACGTGCGATACAGCAGCAAATACTGTAGCACCGGACAACAGTAATACAATATATACAGAGAGATCAACCGCCCAACAGGACATTAGATATCCACTAGAATTCGTAATCATGCCCTTTGAAGTGGACCAAGTTTTTCACTCCTGAACCCGGAGTTCGGGACTTGAAGAGATTATTTGGCACCAGACGTTCAGGTTGGGTCATAATTGGGGTCAAAGCAGGTCAGACAAGAGGCTGTTCTGGGTCGCTGGAGTTGAGCTGGGTTTCTATCATGGTGTCGTCCGGGTACGGATTGGGGTACGGGTTGAGGAACGGGTTGGTGAGGCTGGTCATGGGGAGGAGGATGAGTGCATCGGGTTTGGCGGCGCTGCAGGGCGCTGCATCCCCCCCGGTGGGACTCAGGTCGCCGGGGTCTCGGCCAGCAAGCTGGACATGCGGATCTGCGAGCTGCTCTTGCTGAGGATGGACAGCTGCGTGCCCCCGTTCACCCCACTGCTCGCCAGCGAAGGATGCCGGTGCTTCAGGTCCACAGCAAAGTACCTGTTCACCGTCCAGCTGCGCCATTTCCTCTTGATCTCCGATTGCACCTTGAGGGATATACTTCACAAGGTCATTATTAATGGACCTCGCTTGAAAGAGGCCAGCTCACTGTCCCTCACAGCTCTGTCTGTGCTATATCTCATTGTTTTAGCTTCCTAGGGATTCTTTCTGACAAATACTTTTCCCTAAAATGAAAAAAGATTGTATGCCCACACACCCAAAAATGTTTAAAAGTTGCAAGTCAGCTTAGAAAAAATAGTCCATGTCATATAAATGAAGGAAATTAGATCAAATTTAGCATTTTCTTTTAATTACCACTCCATTTCCAATATATATTTTGGTTTGAGAATAAATCCTGTAAACTATAAGCCTTATCTATACCAAGAATTTACATATAATCCTTTAAAACTAAACAGGTATGTTGTGAATCAGTTGTGTTTTTATGTGTGAATTCAGAGAACTGGTGTAAAGGCGTCAGTGATGATGTTTACCTCTCCGTTCAGGAAGCAGTAGAGGACTGCCACGACAAAGCCCTGGGGATACAGAAGGTCCAATAATTAGACAACAAAGAACACTTACATATCAACTTTAAAAGGAGAAACAACAGCAGTGAGTGATGAAAGACACTACTGTGAAAAAAACAGCAGGATTCATTTTCATAATGGTATATTTTCACATACAATAATTCACACTCGTTTTCATATAAAAGCTGAAGACTTGATTTGAAACTTGAAATCAACTTTATAGATTCCAAGCAGTCAGGTCATACTTGAGTCTTAATAAATGGACAGATGTGTTAAAATCCCTAAGTTTCCTTGAATGGCTGATATAAAGGTACAGAATTTGTAAATAGTCATTCTCAGGCCATGATGGAGGATCAGTCACCTGGAAGGATCCGAGTCCAAGCTCAAACACCAGACGCTCCCTCTTGCTCACGTTCTCGGGGGAAAAGGCAAACACAGTGTAGTGGATCCCAAACAGAGGAATCAGGAGCAGAGTGGAGCGGGCCAACCTCCTGCAAAATAACACACAGAATAATGATGAAACTGGAATACAGTGTGTCCTCATTTTCATAATAGGTCTGTCATAATAGACCTCAACTACACTTTTAATCTTAATCATTCAGTCGTAGAAGTATAAGTATTTGTCAAATGCTGGCCCTGGTAGTTTGCAGGAATGATTACAGCACAAATGCATTAACACATTTCTCTGTATTTGCTTTCCTAGTCCTCAATTGTTAAATCAGTCCATAAATTGAATAATGAGTAAAGTTACCAAATTGTAAAAGAAAAATACCCTCAGCACCCCCCCCCCCCCCCCCCCTTTCCCGCATCCATTCGCGATGTCTCGCTGTCTCGCAGATCCCACGCAGCAAGCAGGAAATGAACCCAGCTCACACTGTCCGCTCCTCGCAGCAGCGAGCCGCGCAACGTCCCGCCAACACGGCACCCAGACCCCACGCAGCATTCTCATCTGTTTGTCATTACTGGTTTCATTTTCTGGTTGCAAATGCCATTGTAACACATAATCACTGATGTTCTGCTGTACTCATCAGAACAGAGTGGGCGAGCTGACCAATCAGAGCACACTGGGCTCACAAGGGGGGGGGGGCAGGAGCTCCAACAAGCCGTTTAGGACAGAGAGTGAATACACATACTATACAGAGATGCTGTATGAGAAACCAATGTGATTAAATCTATTCTAGTAGACCTCAAAAATGGAATTATGATCAGTAGAAATGGCCATGACATGGGACCTTAAACAAATTAATGGGGATATATTTTGCTAATTTTTAGGTTCATATTTTGGTTTTGGGTTTTTACAAAAACGTGTTTACATGCTTTAATGTTCAAAATAAAAAAATAAATTTGGCATACAGTTTGCTGAAATACTCAATTGTAGTTTGTGTCTCTGTAAGATCCCCTTTTACAAAAAAGCATATTCTGCGCTGATTGGCTGGTGAGAAAAACTGCAATCGAGTCCTCAAACAGTGGGTGTAGATGCATAAGGGACTGCACTGTATATTTCAATGTGAATGGGTTTTCTTATAATAGTTAAATGGGTTGTCAATTTTTTGTTTCAGTGCTTACTAACCCACTAGGGACTGGAAATATGCAAAAGCACTGATAAAGCGAGCTTTCCTTATGTCCCCTCTGTTGAAATATAGCTATTGAAACATAAAACTTAAATGTCAGGCAGAACATTTCAATAAAAAGACAACATAAAACAACTTACAGGTAAATACTGGATTCATTTCCACCGATATCTGGGGACTGTAACTTCTGGACGAGGATGACGATGATACCGATGAAGAGCACAAAGTTGACCTACAGACAAGATGTAACGCAAACAAGTCAATATGTATTTACAAATAAAAATATTGTTTTAATTGTTTAATAGTATATAAAGTTTTGTTTATGTTGTTTATATTTGATATCATATTTTAAATGTTTAATTCTCTTTTCCACTTTTTAAAGTATTTTAAGTATTGTATTTTAATATCTGAACACACTTCTGCTTCTGTGACGAAATCATTTCCAAAATTGGGATCAATAAAGTATCTATATCTATCATCTATCTATCTTGTTTATGTTGTGTTTGTTATGTCACTGCATATACAGGTGATAACAACGTACCATAATTGAAGCGAGTACAGGTCCCTTGATCACCCACCAGATGGCAGCGTTGTTATTCATGTCCCAACATCTGAAGGAGCAGGAGGATACAACATCACATTCAAAGCAAACACACTTCAACATACAGGTACTAAACTCTGTTGTTCAAAACCTACCCGTTGTCATCAAAGTGAAACTTCAGCACTGCCCAGATGGTCACACACACTGTGGGGGTTCCTAAATTGACAAGAAAACAAGGATACAAAAATGAGTAACGATTCATGAGATGGGATAAGAATTCCAGTTTGCGTGTTGTGGTTCGTCGCTCACCCCAACCAATGATGATGTACCAGTAGAAGTATCTCTTCTCAGGGAAGAAGGTCTCCACTAGTAAAGTGAAGAGGTACAGACCCTCGATGAAGAGCCAGAAGTAGTTAGAGAGGACGCAGTAATGGAAGAATATCATCACTGCTCGACACTCAAGCTTGAAGGAGAAAAAAAGACACCATGGGAAAATGTCAGAAAGACAGAGTTAAGACGAGACACTACAGGACACTAATCAATAACATGTATTTTTTAGGACGTGACAGAAACATCAGAAATATATATTTAGTTGGTTTTGTTGCAACACTTCTGTAGACTATTCAGGGAAAGGAAATGGTCTTAATGTATAATATCCACTGATGAAATGTAATAGTGATATCTGTTGCTGAAAATTGTTAGCAGATACTTCTTTTTGGTCTTCTCGAGAACAACCTTGTTGAAAATAATTTATATAGATACAAATAATTCCTTGTTAGGTTTGAGCAAATCATCCATTGCCTGTTAACATGTAAAACAAAGAGCATTGTAGGAACGTGTGCAGGCCTGTTGGTGTTACTCACAGTGTGTATGAAGCAATGCTCACTGTCTGCTTCGGCATACAGCACGCTGTCTTTGATGAAGACTGAAATCGCTCTCAAGATGAAAGACACAAATAGGTTCATGTGGATGAAGTTCCTCGTACAGTGCAGCTTCCTGATTAAAGCCAACAGACAGGAACACACTGATTACGTTTTTAATAAACACAATAACTGCATGCAGTGGAACAATACGTTGAGGTTTGTTTTGTTGTCATTCAGTGATCAACATGCATAAATAGTTCACGCAGTTATATAGTCGTAGTAAAAGCAGTTGAAGCAGCAATTGTAGAGGCAAAAGTGAAAATAGCTTTAGAGAAAGCAGCCGTGGTCTTATCCTTACTGTCACATTTTCCACTTGGGAAGAAGCCCCCGCATTCACTACGATGACGGCAGGGGGATTGTATTTGCGTTGTATCTTGATACACATGGTTTTCACATAGTTAATGTAAACATGCATTAATTACTGTGGTCTATGTCTAGGAATAGCCCAAAAGAAATATCATGGATTTTATTGCTCCATTTAAAAAGGTGTATCTCATTATTTTACCTCTGTAAAGCGTATTTGAGCACCTGATAAAGCGCTCGATCATTTGTATTATTATCTCTTTTTGTTTTGTTCACATGACATTACATTGCCAGTAAAAATAACTCTGCTTTTGGTTTCACACGGGAATCGGGCGCCTGGGTGAAAGTCCTGTGTGTGTTTGTTATCAGTACTGTAGGAGCCACAACATCAGCTGCATCAATAGTAGTAGTAGTTGTGGTAGTACATGAAGTGATAACAGCAAAAGCAGTGATAGTACTAACACTTATTGAGGTAGAAGTACATACCAAGAAGTTAACAACTTTTCTTTTGAAAAACGATAATAATTTTCACCATGAAAGGGATTACCTCATCCTAAAATAATGTCATTGTGTTTTAAGATATTTGATATAAATAAGCAAGATGCCTGAAATATCCTTCAGTTATTTTCTCCCTCTATGTTTTCATAAACCTTGTTTTTCCCAACACGCCCCACCAAGCTGCAGTACCACCCCTGACCACTAGACGGCTCACCTGAACCTGCACAAGATGACCATGGCCATGACGAGGGACACTAAAGAGGTGCTGTAGCCCACAGTGTACAGAGCCTTCACTGACACAAAGTACATGTCCTAAAATGGAATCACAAGAACAACAAAAAGTTAATAAACTGTTTTTTCAATAATATACAATGTCTCATTTTTCCTATTACTCTGAGAGTGATACTTACCGGATGGCTACTGTTCCCTTCTTCAGACATGCAGGCATCAACGTAATGAGGGAAGGTCTCATCCCATCCGAACTCAGTGCAGTTCCGACTCACCATGCCTGGCTCTGTGGACACAGGACAATTAATTTAAAACACATACTGTACTAATATGTTGAGTGAAATCAGGAAGATACAGTAGTACCCTCTTAAATGATTTGCTTCACTTAGTTGGTGTGCCCCTTAAATTGAAATGTGTGTAATGTAACACAGAGAATAGATTTTCCAACCACAAGCACACACTGTACTTGTGAGGACAAACAATGACATAACACATTCCCTACACCCTAACAATGACATCGGCCAAAACCGTATTCTTATCTTAACACTATGTGGGGACCAATGAAACGTTCACATTTTCAAAAGTGTTGTAAAAAATGTATTTGTGGAATTCTTTAATCATTTCAGTACCTTCAGTACCTTCTTTTGTGTGTGTGTGTGTGTGTGTGTGTGTGTGTGTGTGTGTGTGTGTGTGTGTGTGTGTGTGTGTGTGTGTGTGTGTGTGTGTTTGTGTGTGTTTGTGCATGTGTGTGTGTGTTCTTTGGTCCCCACTTTGTATTCAAGTTAGAAATACAATTTTTGATTTGCATAGTTAGGGTAATGTATAATTTCAATGTGTGTTTGTGGGCAAGATTTTTACAAAAATCTGCAATTCAATGAAAGTACATGAACTTTTACCATGTGAGCACTGCAACAAGACATGTGAAGAGGAGCCTCGACATGTCAACAGCATTAGTTGCTGATGGTAAATGGGAAGCAACTCACCATAGTCTTCTTCGCTGATGAACTGAGAGAAGAGCTCGGGACAGTCGACTTCCACCACCTCCCCGATCTTTGCCGGGTGCCAACACGTCAGGTTGTCCCACATCCACGGACAGCCTGAGGAAACAACAGGTGAACAAACACAGTTCACATCAAGAGCCATATGTTACTTAATTTGGGTGAAAAAAGCCCACATATTCTTATTTAGCTGAGGGTTTTTCACTCATATATAATTTTACAACAGCATCAAAAAAGAGCGAAAGTCTTCTACAGGAAGAAGATAGTTCGGCAGAGACTTTATGAATAATATGTATGATCATTTGTTATAACAATAACTTTTGGGGGACACAGGTCTAGATGGAACATAAACACAGATTTTGGGGAGAGTCATGTGTATTCGCATTAAATGTGCATACATCCATGCAGAAGATAAAAGAAGACGGTCTGATTTCCAAATTCAGTTTGTGACTTCATTAGCCGGCTCTGCTTTGGGAAATGTTGGTTTAATATTAGTTTTTTCATTATCTTAGAGCCAAGCGGGAGCTTTGTGGCAGGGTTAACAGCAGAAGCTATAGTGTTTTAGTCAAGACCACAAACCACCTTAACCAAGACCAAGACAAGACCAAGACTTTAAGAGGTCGAGACCAAGTCAAGGCCAAGACCAAGGCAGGGCGAGACCGAATCAAGACCAGAAGAAGCATATGCTCAAGACAAGCTATTACATTGAATTGGCACCATATTGAATAGGCAGCCATAAAGTCAAACATAAAAACTAAGCAGGCTCAGGTGATCCAAGTTGCGTGACTCGGTATCCCCTGGATGATGTAACTGAGTTATAGCTGTTTAGTTTTCAACCAAAAGGTCAGTACAATGATTTCCTTGAGTCCAATAGTTATCATGCCATATTAAAATAAACAAAAGGAAGGAAAATGTACAGCTTTTATACTTGGTTTCTGTTTCTCTGACGCCTTGGTGATGTACATGATCTGCAAATGCTATCCTACGCAGTAGAGAACACATTTTACCCGTTGAAACTTGTCGCCAAACAAAAATAATGAAGAAATGGCACAAAGCTAGTCTGAATTTCCTTTCATCCATCACAGAATCACTCAGAGAGACGCCTGTCACTCACTGTCTCAGTGATCAACTTTAATTTTAAGCATCTTCATCAAGAGATGCTGGCAATTAAAGCCTTAGACCTTCCCCCACTTCAGAGTGAAACCAAAGAGTTGATTTGCTTTGCCGAATGTCTCTGTTGCCACTGCTTTACTTTGTTATGCTTTGAATCAAACAAAGAAACTCAAAGGCAAACTGTGAATTATTTCAAATGATCTCTCTTTGCTGACAAGCAGGTCAAAGTCAGAGTACCGCAATTTGTAGAATGATCTTGTTCTCATTAGTATGCTGACCCTGAAGATATTATTGTTAATAATCTCTATGTTTATTCTGTTATAATTAGCCCGAATTGGAAATGGTTACAAGTGGTAGTTATGATGAGGGAGGGGGATTAAAGGCTCCACTAACACATTCACAATCACCTACCGTAGTCTGGATCGTTCCCAGGATCGTCCGAGGCCATCATTTCCATGCATTTCTCCTGCTCCATCTTGATCACACAGTTTGAGTGGACCTGTTGGCTGTAATCCTGGAAAACAACATCAAAACACACACAACACACACACACAACACACACACAAACAACACACACACACACACACACACACACACACACACACACACACACACACACACACACACACACCACACACACACACACACACACACACACACACACACACACACACACACACACACACACACACACACACACACACACACACACACACACACACACAGAGAGAGTCAAGTGGCAGAAGATTACATCAGAGCACAGAGGATCGGACCCAAAGGTAAAATAGAAGATGCTGCTCCATTAGCTTCACCATACGGTTCACACCACAGTGTGGGAGAGGTCTCTGCTCTTGGATCTGTTTAAACACTCAGCCAATTAAACAAACCAGTTCAGAGCTGTTGGCACTCTCCCCGAGCAACTGACCCGGAGGAGGGGCATTATTCTAATTCAAACAAGGCAGGAAAGCCTTTCAGACGTGCACTTTTCACACCAGACCGTGCCAGGGGTTACTCCCATCTGTTGAAAAGTGGTAGGCAGACACACAGAAGTGACTGTTTAAACTTGTAGCCCTCCAGCGGCGTCAACACAATCGAGGCCGGGGAGTCCCACAGCTACTTCACTAAAGAAACGGAGGTCACCCCAAGAGACACCTTCTCCACAGCCCCCCTCTGACAGCTGCATAATGAGGGGCTGACGTTGGGACTGAGGAGGGGGTGGAGATGGAGGTGAGTGTCTGCTAAGGAGCTTGTGTGTGCTGGCGTCAGTCTGGGAGACGCGACGTCACAGCTTTATGAGGTGTAGGAGAGGATTAGTTAAGCATTCACCCGCTGACGTCAACAGCGCTCGCATGGGAGTCATGTACTGACGATCTACTGGAGTAACAGAGATGCAGGCGCTCCGGGGGCATCGTGGGGAACGAGTGTCGACACACTGTCTGTATCCTCGAATCTGCTGGGTGATTTATGTGCTGCACTCTCCAACAACAGCATCATGTCTGCACTGGTAGCTACATTGAATGTTCTGGCAGTAAAGGCACATGTGGTTGGAATAGGCATTCACTGGATCTGTTATGTTCATGTTTTTTATCTTAAATCAATAGTTAAACATGGTAGATATTTAGTCATATTATTGGGCTCAGAAGAAAAATATATAATTTCTTAAAAGCTGCACTACTATATGAATGAAAATAAGTACTTGAATTAGCATAAGTACATGGATGTATTAACATATTTAACAATACAATAGATGTGTATATATAACAGCAATCCATGTCTCAATCAAACTCAATCTAAAATGTAGATATTGAGAAGCTGGTAGGTAGCAGGACGGTTGCCATGGAGAATGTGATGAGTAAATCCAGAATGGATTTTTTTTTTTTTAGATATTGGTTCCCTTCTCCAGCCAAGAAGTCCTTTAAGACCCATACAAATGTATTCAAGACCTATTATGAAGTTGTAATGCCCAAATTAATGTATGGCTTTAAGGACCCATGAAAAGCCTGATATACCAAAGGGGGTTGCTCAAATGACAAACGCACAGAGAATGATCATCTTTGCCGGGTAAATTGGAATTTTGAACGTCCAATTAATAGTCTTAGCAATCGGCTGGTCCTCCCTCATGGACGCTATACCAACTTCCAATTATGTTGTTATAACAAACAAGCACATCAGCTGTTTTTCTTCAGTTAATGTACACAGTTTACATTCAGCAGCTTCAACAACTAATTCTAGAGAAAACTAGAAAACTTGACTTTTGATTTCACACAGGAACAATTTGGTATTTTTGGGTGACAATCCCATGTTTAGCCCATTCTTACTTCTTAGTACGTCATTTGACTTTTTGGCAGAGAGCCCTGAGGACAAATTGCACCCATGTGCACGCAAAGACAGCCTGGATAAAGACTTTTGGCTCTTGCAAACACCACAGGCTTAAAACAATGTGTCAGCAAATCTTCTAACAAATCAGACAGGATGTGGGAATTGCTGTTTACATATTATTTCCACAATAGCCTTTAAGGTACAGTACATTAAAGGCTAGGAAAGTAAAATGTCAAAGAATCTAGCATATACACATGGGTCTTTTCACTCAGTCCACCTGATGAGACCTCTGCTCAGGTTAAAGTTGAGTGGAGCTTGGCTAAAAATCACCAAACTCCATTTGCCAGTAAATTATCCTGCCTCAACAGGTGCAACAAATTAACTGTGCAGGTCTAATCAGATCAAATAAGTGAAAACACCTGTGGAGCTTCCAGGATAAAGAAACCTTTGTGTCCTAAAAACCAATGTTATTGATGTATCACATCAATAAGGTTGTGTCCTTTCTAGTTTCTAGGTAGTGTTCTTTCTATTCTTAGCAAATATGGGAAAAGTCTCAAGAGACATGTTTACTCATGTTAAAGAAAACCAAGATTTACACAAACCTTAACAAAAACATGTTAGTACCTTGAAGCTGAGAAGGACCAGTATGACGGTGTTATTATACTTCCTTCAACATTGGTTTTAGTATCAGACAGAGATTAAGATCACTTTATTTTACAATGAACTTTGGGATTTTAGCTTTTGCAGACCATTTACATGCACAAGAACCTATATAACAGCCTACTACAGGAAAGGTCAAACCGCAAAAGGCAAAATAGGGCCCCTTTAAAACTCCCAAATGAACACCCGACTGCTGATCATGATCAAGTCCAGTCTATAGAGTATGTATTGTTCATTTGTTCAACTGTACAAACAGGGACTTAAATGTCCATCTCTTTCTCTTTTAATCATATTTTCAACCTATGCCTTCCCCTTTTTCATACAACGTGCTGTTGTCCACCATCTTCTTTAAAGCTCATCTCTCATTTTCTCCGACAACACTTCAGCTCAAGGGTGATGACTCACATTTAACAACAGTAATAAAAGACTGCTTTCCTCACAGCTTTTTTTGTATGGAGAGGAGAGGAGACAAGCAGATAGAGGAAGGAGAAGGAGAGGATGCTATCGAGGACCTTCTCCACAGATTTAACAGACAGGAATAATGTTGAATAAACAATGAATAAATGATGAGAATGCATCCTTATCCATCGTTCCTACCACACACTCGTCAATGAATTATTGATTCAGACACTTCATACGGCTGAACGACTGTAGAAGTTCATAAGAAGGGCCTCAACACCTGTTCCCTGAATATATTCATGTCAATCTCCACCTGTTGCCACGTCTGTTTGTATGTTGATCGTTTTAGCTGCACGAGTAAGCTTACACACACAAACTGAAGGGAGATTATACATTGTGTCCTTCAAAGGTACAAAAAGAGAATGAAGAAAATAATTTTAAATCAGCTTACCGAGAGTAAGAGGAGGAGGAGGGCGAGGATAAGCGGGCTGTTAGTGGCAGACATTTTGTGCTTCTCAGTGAGGAGTTTTCCTCTCAACATCGAGCTCTGAAACAACAGGACGTCAGCTCACCTTGGGATCTGAAAACACAAGAGTGTGAAACATTAGGAGACAGGATGTCAACATTTTGTCTACAGCAGTTCCACCAGGACATTTAGCTAACATCACAGAGTATCTTTAGAATAAGCTCTCAGTGTGTGTTTATATATCCGTGGAGAAAATTCAAACTGGAGAGCACTCAGACGACTTTAACAATAATTTATTTTAGAAAATCTCCATTAACAGCTAATTTTACCTTGTCATGTTTTGCTGTGGAAGAACACTTGCGCCATGCCAGCATAGCTTGAAGGGTTTTGGCTGCTCGGTGCAAGTATATACAGTATTACATTAGATTCTGAATGTTATATTTTACTGAACAGAAGATGGTAAGTGCATTGGATCGTGAGAAGAAAAGTTGAAAATGTTAACAAAGAAGCATTGTCTTTTTAAAATCCATGGATAAACAATACAAAAAACATTTCCTTGTTGTTGTAAAATCCATCACCTTAACAGAAATCTATTGAAAAGTGTATCCATTACTCAGAAAAAGAAATCTGTGTGTAATCTATACGTTTTACGAACAATGAAGTTGTTTTTTTAAAGGAAAAAGGCCAAACATTGCCTAGCTCCAGCTTTTCAAACATGAGAACTCGCTGCTTCTCTTCGTTAAATGTGAGAGAAAACGGAATATCTTTTTGGATGCTGGTTTGGATTTGAAGGCGTCTCCTTGGGTTTAAGAAGATTATGATTACAGAATGTGTGGTTCTTATCACTTATGTTCTGACAGACAATCTAAATATTTAGTTGCAGCTTACTTTTCTCGCTGTGACTTTCCCACTTTTTTGACAAGTGTGCTGAAAAATGGCCTCGAATATAAACTGAAATTCTGCTTACGGAAATCCTCCATCAATGCCCTTCACTTCGCTGAAGCAACTGCAGTCAGCTGTTACAACGACACGTTCAGCCTACCTAATGATTGGCTTTCCAACTTGTATGTGAACACAAGGGTTGCATGTCTGTAATGTGCCCATGTATCTGTGTCCTCATGGATCAGCCTGGCCCAGGGGGTTCGCATGAGTAAAGCCAAGTAGCAGTCGGGCCTCGTCCCACAGGGAGACTTTGGCAGCTTGGCATCCTCCTTCAACCCTGCCAGCATCAAGCCCCTCCCCCTGCCGTTGTCAGGAGCAACAGCTGAGAGAGCTGCTGAGTTTGGATCTGAACTGAACCACGTGGACCTGGAAGCTCCTTCTGCTCTACTGTAAATAGATTTTCTTTGGATTTCCTCATGTACTTCATGTCATGAAAGGATAAAACACATTCATGAAAACACTGAACTCAACTCAAATTCCAGCATGTATTTGAGTAGAAACAAACATTTCTATAAGCAAACGAAGCACATTTGATTTGAGTCCTGCACACAGTGCATATTAATGCCATACAGCCCTAACAAACAGTACTTTCATTCATATTTTGCTTGCAAGAAAACAACATGAATGGAAGTCTGCAGCTTTGCCAAGGCCACCATAATGGCTGTTCTTCCATAGAAAAGCTTTCATGGTGACTGGTCGAGCACAAACTGACAATAATTCATTTCTGAGGAAAAACCCTCCCATGTTCTTACAAAAACACTGATGGTATCTCAACCTGCCACAGTGGGAGAGGTCTCATTGTGCCTGTGTGTGTGTGTGTGTGTGTGTGTGTGTGTGTGTGTGTGTGTGTGTGTGTGTGTGTGTGTGTGTGTGTGTGTGTGTGTGTGTGTGTGTGTGTGTGTGTGTGTGTGTGTGTGTGTGTGTGTGTGTGTGTGTGTGTGTGTGTGTGTGTGTGTGTGTGTGTGTGTGTGTGTGTGTGTGTGTGTGTGTGTGATGCAAAACGATAAGTAATGGACACGCTCGAAGTTCCTTAGAAAGATATGCATCTTCACTGGTAACCTTTTACTGCTCTATTTGTTGCAACTAAAACGTCTAAACGATCAAATCATTCAAACCAACAGAGATCCTTCTATATAAGCTCCCATTGTGCGACAGGGGCCCTTTGTCGTGATCTATATCTACAAGAGCTATATTTATTTTATTTTCATTGTGCTCATATGGTGCGTATTCCTAACGTTGTATCAGTCAAATTTACAATAAATCAGGCCCTACTGCATCAAGCAGAACTCAGAAAACTACACATAACGATAAAGCACAATAAAGATAACATGTAATTGTGCTTGCACGATGAACACAGTGTCACTTCAAGTTCTAAGACAAAAATAACAGACAACTAAACTGGACAACACCTTAGTAGCGACGTATGTCAATCAAAAGGTAGCCACAACCTAAAATGTACCTTGCTGTATTTTCTTTGTTATACTATCGGACTAAAATAAAAAAAATTAAATATTTAAGAACTCTTTCAATTGAGATAATTTACTCATTAAGAAAGTGTTTACTGAGGTAATAAATCAAGTGATGAGGAGAGTCATTCTTTCATAGATTTCTATACAAATGGACGGCCCCCTGTTGGCAATTTGAATGAGTATGTGTGTGTGTGTGTGTGTGTGTGTGTGTGTGTGTGTGTGTGTGTGGTGGTGTGTGTGTGCGTGTGTGTGCGCGCGCGTGTGTGGTGTGTGTGTGTGTGTGTGTGTGTGTGTGCGTGTGTGTGTGTGGTGTGTGTGTGTGTGTGTGTGTGTGTGTGTGTGTGTCGTGTGTGTGTGTGTGTGCGTGTGTGTTTGTGTTGTGTGTGTGTGTGTGTGTGTGTGTGTGTGTGTGTGTGTGTGTGTGTGTGTGTGTGTTAGCACTGCAGCTGCTCAAAACTCTCCTCCCCGAGCTGTAATCATTGGCTTAATGAGTCTCAGTGGTTTTAATGTTCAACACTGTCATCTGGAATGTGTGTGATGGGTGATGCTCTATCGAGAGAGCATATACATCATTAAAGAAACACACATGCACACACACACACAAGTATGTTCACGACTCCGCACATGTTACACACTGGTCCTCACTTTAGCTTTACGACGGCACTAATAAATACTCGGTGTAGAGTTGCACCCGAGAGGGGAGAAGATAAACGAAGGAGGAAATGAAGCAGTGAAAAGAACTAGCTGAGAGAAGAAGAGGAATGTGTGTGGGTGTTTGTGTTAAGACAAACCTATCGTCTCGGGAGAAGAGGAATTATTTCTCACAGGAGTATGCCTAAAAAGATGGAGCTTTCTTAATGATCACTCACCTATAAAGAAAAGCTTTGAAAACTCTGCGATGAAACGCATCATCAGAGAGAAGGATAGAAGAAGAAACAGGGAGCCTCCCTGATCTCCATGTTTGTTTTTGTTTGGACAATGAGAACAGTTTTGTCCCTCAGGATGGTCTGGTCAGGCTTTGACAGCTGTTGTGGTCTGGAGCATACAGACATGCCCCGGCTTATCCCCCTACTCACTAACTCCAAACTCTTCTGCTCTTTACCTATCATTTACAACAATGCATTCTTCTTTCTTTGGAAGAACTAAGACATTCTTCTCTGTGCTGCTTCAAGAATCATCATTTAGTGTGTGGATCCAGAAACTGGACTGTCTCATTCCCAGTGAATATCATAGTAAGTCAGTCATGTCTCGGGCTCTATATTTAGCCCAAGGAATTATGGGAGGAATTAATATACACAGACATGACTTAGTCTTCATTATTTTGGGGAGGGAGAGGGAGGTGCGCTTATTACAGAGAGACAGAGAGAGATAGTGGGAGGAAGAGAAAGAACTGTCCTGGTTTCACGCTCACATTATGTTCCATTTTCCATACAATTCACTGGGGTGCTGCTTCGTCACGAGACTGAGGCAAAGTCACAAACAAAAATAAAGTAAAAGTAAAAATAACACACTCATCAGCTTCAGAGACTTACATTCCAGATCCAGCCTAATTCCCTCAACAACAAACCAGGAAGTAAGTAACCAAGGATTGGTATCTCACTTGTGTACAAACACAGTTAATATGGTAAAGCTTGATGTTGGTAATGATGTAGAATGGCGTTATTTCTGATGGCATCAGGAAGCAAGCATAATTCTGATTGTATAGAAGTCTAAGTCTATCTCTTTATAAAAAAAGAACAAGAAAAGGAGAGAGAAGTAAGTATGTTTTGATACTTATTGGGGAGGCAGTGGCTCAGTCTGTAGGGACTTGGACTTGGAACCGAAGGGGTCACTGGTTCACGTCCCGATCGGACCAACACAAATACAGAGTGTAGACTGGTCAAGTGCCAATTCACCTCCTGGGCAATGCCAAGGTGCCCCTTGAGCAAGGCACTGAACCCCCAACTGCACTGGGCGCTGGCGAACTGGCTGCCCCGTCACTCTCCCTCTCCTATCCTGCATGTGGTTCAGTTTCTGCATGTGCTCATTTATATCAACCTGTGTTTGTAATGTGAGTGATAAAAGTAATTGATAAAGTATGTCCTATTCTTCTTCTTTATGATTTCAAACTGTTGTTGGTAGTGTAGTGTGGCCAAGTGGGTGTGAAGAGGAATCAGCTCTGAATGTAGTGCAGAGATGGTGACCATGTTTTATTAAAAGGGATTATATTGTCTATAGAAGTAGTATATACATAGTTTGAAGTCCTCTTCGATATGTCGCGTAGCTCATTTGGTTTATAATGATCCTTCTCAGAGTAAAATACATGCAGCGAAGGCTTTAATGCTTAGCCAGTTTTTCTAGTTTGGATGTACGTGTTTTTATCTTAGAACGCTAACCCTTACACAGTGTTTCAGTAGACTTCTTCACCCCCTCGTATTTGTCACTTCTGGTTAAAAAAACAAAACAAGATGGCGCCGGACAAAATTCCAAACTTTCAAAACCAACCAATGGGTAATGGGGTCACGATGACCATGTACACTTTTTAATCCAAACCACCTTTTGTCACCCCATCCCTATCTGTATCATTTAAAGGTCAACCATCTTGCATCTACAGAACTTTATCTGAGACTTTGGACATAAACACTCCAACGGGATAATGTTGATCTGCAGGTGTGGAAGAAGGCAACCCGTAGCCATGTCAACAAATAAGGAGCCACACAATATTTCTACATTTTACTCTACCTTGTTCTGCTCATAGTGGCTAAATATTGACTACCAGTATGCATATAACATTACATATAGGAATTATATTTGGTGTGGTCTTTGTGCTTTTACAAAAGTATTTAAATGTCCTCGATCTCTGTAGCTAACTATTGCATCGTGGCAAAAGTAAGTGCAACCTGGGACAGAGAAGCTTGTCTCACATGCAGAGCAGGTTTGACACAGAAAAGGAGCAGAAGCAGGGCGTTGTGACGGAGCTGTTTAGCTGAAGATGCCTCACTCTTAGTCCCATGCCTGCTCTAATTCCCAACATGACCCAGTGAGCAGCGAGACATCATCGTCTCCCGCATGGCTGCACCATGCTGCCAAACACCAGCACCAAACTGACCGAATGATCTCTTTAGAGCCGACTGCCTGCAGAGGATCCCGACTGCTGGACAAGTCAAAGATCAAGTGTGCTTTAAATCACTCTCTACAGGACGTGCAATGCAAATATCTGGGATGCAAAAATAGGCAAAAAGATGTGATTTAGTTTTAACATTTAGCCAGGGACACTCAATTGAAAATGTATGGGCTTTTCCTCCGTAACAGCACATTACTGTTACACAAGGCCACTATTCTGTCGATTTCCACTCTGCAATCGCACTGACCATTGTTTCTCAGAGTATCAATTTAACTGTGACAACATGTATGGTCAAGCAGGCGATAAAAGAGAACAGTGCAGGTTTAAATGGTGAGCTTAGTCTTTAACGGTACTCCTGAGAAACATACAAGTTACTAGGTTACTGTTACTTTTATCTTACAGTTATAAAGCCTTATTTTTCTAACACTGGTTCCAATGCACATGGTGACTCATGGCAGCAATGCAATTCTGTCGCAGTTAATAACGTTTATTATTGAGATTTCATGGAGCTAAAACCTGTTTTACTGCACACATTTCGACTTATAAAAGCACAAGTGTGATTTTTAACATTAAGGAGGGCTCGGTTCCATTTGAATGTCCCACCAGTTACACCCCATCATTGCCATCAAATGACACCTATACTTTACCTGATTTGATAGAAATAAGTGCTTACTGTGGATTGAATTGCCCAGAGCACAACACTACTTTACATTATGCCAAATATGCTGTCAGCAGCAGAATATCCTTTAGTGACCTGTATTTCTGTTTCAGGAAACACCGACATGTCTATGCATAACAATAGGCTACCTGTGCGTTGAGACAGTTGTTGCTTACTTAAGCAATAAAGAAGGGGGTAATCGGGTAATATGTATTCATGCAAACAATAATGCCTTGACTGCAAATGTGCGATGATGCATGTAAGCAAAAAAACTCAACATCAAAATATTTTAATCTCAAAAGGAAATATTGAGGTTTTTGAATCATTTAGCAGCTCTTGTTTCTAGTCAATTTTGCTACGATATGAGAACACATAAGGTTGAAATAACCTCTGAAACTCTGGTTGCTGGTGAATCTTTTCACATTTCCTGAATAAACACAGTTCAGACTCTCATTTGGAATATTACTTCTTATAATGTGCAGCCTTCTGCATCAGCATCCATTACAGGATCTCCTTGATGTGAATAAGTGACACTCGGCTCATGCGTGATATACTGGGTGTGTTACAAGGTTGTCGTGCTGAGACTGGGCCCGACGCCTAATGTCCTCTCCTTCCTTTACTTTCTCCCTCCTTTGCTGCGCAGGCCAGCCAACACAACAAGGCTAATTGGGCCATTTAAATGTCAGCATCACAGACATCTGAGAGACAGAAAAGCTCTTCCCTCATATACTAGTGCACTTATGCTGCGAATGTTTTGAGCAGCAACATGTTAATGAGGTTGTGTGGACATGTTTGTCAGGGAAATCCAAACAGGATTATGTAGTTGTTCCCATGTGCAGAGCCAGAACAGTATATTTAAACAAAAAAAACACAAACAGTGTTGTCTTTTTGGATAATCCTGGTTGGATATTTAAACAAGCTGCCACAGATGTTCAAAGCAAGCATTGATCTAAATGCGTCTGTTGTTTTCTTTATAAAAAACATACTTATAGCACCAGTTTGGCCTTGAATCAGAATTGGGGGTGGATGTGCCTCTCATTCATCACTCTTTTATGAATGAGGCAGCAGCTGGGCATTCAGAAATGTAAACAAATAGCTCAATTTTTCAGCCTTGCATTTCATCTTTAGCAGAGATCTGGGTTGCTACAACAGATGCAGGAATTAGTACTGTAACACACACACACACCTTCACACCTTTTTTGACCAGATGTTGAGTAGTGAGATCCGCTAAGAGGAGGCTCACCTCTGTCAAACAGAGCAGATAACTAGATAAGCATGGCTCTGATTGTTATATAATCCTCTAGTCTAGACCATCCAAAAACAGTCAGACAAGAGAAAACACCAATTGTGATTCAGTGACAGTAGGATGCATAACAAGGTCACTCACAGATTTAACCCACAGGCTTTGATCTCATAGATCTTCAGTAACACAAGAGCCCAACAAATAATATGCCTTAAATACAGATCTATGTCAGCGTTATTGATGGGAAATTCCTGCAAAAGCCAATATGTTACAGGCCCTGTGTTTGTGGATCCAGACAGCGCTGTTATAATAGATTCAGCACTGTATGATGACATACATACATAGAAGAAAAATCTCCATCATACCACAATGTAACATCATAATCCTGTGTCATACCTTACACTTAATAATAATTCAGTAACCACCCAACAGACCTAATGGTTGAGCCTTTGAATGTGAACTAATAAACCCATTAATGATGGATTGCATTATATTTTTAAATAACTGTTTCGGTATAATATTCACATACAATGTATTTCTGTAATCTCATGCTCGATTCTTGTTGCAGTATTTGTGCAAAGTGTGCGCAGTGAGGAGCCGCTGCAGGGAAGGACCCTCCTCACTGAGCCCAGCCGACACATGCCGCAAGATCCCGGCATTCTCCTGCCAAACACCCCCCTAAAAAATCCACCTCGGTGCAAAAACTTGATGCCCAAATCGAATTAGTGCGATTCTTATTCATGCATTTTAGTCAAAATCTTACCATTGCATCGATATTCTCCTAATGCAACTCCCGCTCTGTGGATCCTCGGGGCTGATGAGAGAGCCGCACTCCGCAGGGGACAAATGAGTCCTCGCCGGGCTGCGAAAGAGAGAGTCCCCGGTGGCTAGACAACTTCCACCCGAAAGACAGATTGGACAAAATGTGGCGGAGTTCCACCAAATGCGACGAGTTTCTTTTGGCATGAAATGGGAAAACGATTTGAGATTTCCTCCCAGTGAGCTGTCAGGGTTTAATGATCACTGTTATTCGAGCAATTGTTCTGCCCTGCGGATGGCTGCTCGCATCGCCCTCCACAGAAGAATGCACCGCGCATTTCAACTAACCTCTCTCTCTCTCTCTCTCTCTCTCTCTCTCTCTCTCTCTCTCTCTCTCTCTCTCTCTCTCTCTCTCTCTCTCTCTCTCTCTCTCTCTCTCTCTCTCTCTCTCTCTCTCTCTCTCTCTCTCTCTCTGTGACACACAACAACACACGAGCAGGTTATGTTAAATAATCCAGGCGACCCCAAATTCAACAAAGAAAATTATATGCATGTGATGTGTTGGGACATGCAGTGTGTGAGTGTGTGTGCGTGGGTGTGTGTGTGTGGGTGTGTGTGTGGTGTGTGTGTGTGTGTGTGTGTGTGTGTGCGCGCGTGTGTGTGTGTGTGGGCGTGCATGTGTGTGTGTGTGTGTGTGTGTGTGTGTGTGTGTGTGTGTGTGTGTGTGTGTGGGTGTGTGTGTGGGTGTGTGTGTGTGTGTGTGTGTGTGTGTGTGTGTGTGTGTGTGAGGTCACTGTTATGGTTCACCAGATTCAAACAGAGATCAGCACCACGGACAGCAGCCATCATCATTTTATTCACTCCCCGAAGAAAAGACAAATCAAATTGTGATGCTTCTGTGTTCATGTAAAACATCTTAAATGTATATATATATATATATATATATTTTTTTTTCAAAGTGTGGGAAGGTGAGCCTCCCCTCAGAGAACATAAGAACAGCCGCGCCCCCCCTCCCAATTATTATTGCTATAATTATTATTATTATTATTATTATTATTGTTGTTGTTGCTACTGTATAATGCAGGGGTATTATTATCCAGTGGAATGCCCTTACCTACTGGCCTAGTTAAATCAAAGTGGTTACTTTTTTTTGGCTGGGCAGTGTATTGTTTTTAATCCGGCTGTGAGTTTGTGTGTGCTCAGGATGAGTTTGGCTGTGTTTCGCTGTGTATCCTAAACAACGAAACAACACCTCCACGGAGCTCAGCGCGATTCACAACGACCCGACCAATCAGAGCACACTGTGCTCACAGGGAGGGTGGGGGCTGGAGCTATTGGAGCTACAACGAGCCGTTAAAGGCAGAGAGTGAAATTCAGTGAATACACGTAGTTTACAGAGATGCTGTATGAGAAACCAATGTGAGTTTGGAAAATTGCACAATATAAATCTATTCTAGTAGACCTCAACAATGGAATTATGATCAGTGGAAATGGCCATGACATGGGCCCTTTAAGAACGTTCAAACCCTTGGTCGCCGGATAGCTCAGTGGTTGAGCTGGCGGCCCATATGGGACAGTTATTGTGAAAGTTGTGAAATTGTTCTAATGCAGCAGATTGAGTAAACTGTGTACAATTTACTGAACAGACAATAACGTGCTAATCAAACTCTTGCCAAAGCCCCGAGGAGCAAAAACATACTTGCCTTTCAGCTCTTCTGTCAACCCTCCATGAACGCACACCCTTATGTATAGCTGCCAGTTGCTTCTCAGTCAGTCTTATTAAGGCACGGACACACCAGGCCGATTATCGGCGTCGGTGGGCGTCAGGCCGACGATGAGCGTCGACACGCCCTACTCAGATTTGTGTGTCCCGCACCGTCGGGTCTTTTGAGCCGGGGCGACGCCTTTTCGGCCGAAAACCCGCCGATTCAACATGTCGGCCAAAGGCAGTCGGCAAAAGAAATCACTCTGATTGGCTGTTCAGCTAGCAAATCAGTGCATGAGAAGCGAAACGGAAGTGAGGGACCTAAACAAACTATTAAGAAGGCAAATCTGAGATTTCATTTAACTCCAGCTCTCGTCACAGGTTCGGGAAAGCCCCATGAGCTTCTCGTTGTAGAGTTGAAAATGGAACGCACACGCTATTTGTTGTTTGTTTATATCAAATCAAATCAAATCAAATCAAGTTTTATTTATAAAGCACATTTAAACGCGATTTTTGGTCGAGCCAAAGTGCTGTACATGTAATAAAAACACATTACTACAATCACAATAAAAGACAATAAATTACAACAGATATATATATAAAAAAAAAAAAACACAAGGAAAAGTCAAGAGTCGTGCTCCGCTCTAATTAGAAGGCCAGAGAGAAGAAGTGTGTTTTTAGTGTAGATTTAAAAACCCCTAGGGTCTGGGCTGACCTCACATGGAGGGGCAAAGTGTTCCAGAGCCTAGGGCCAGCTGCTGTGAAGGCTCGGTGCCCTCGGGTTTTAAGCCTGGTCTTGGGCACTACCAGCAGCAGCTGGTCAGCAGACCTTAAAGCTCTGGCTGGGGTGTAGCGCTGGAGGAGTTCAGCTATATACTGTAGGCCGAAGCCAGCCCATTTAGTGCTTTAAAAACAAATAAAAGGATTTTAAAATCAATTCTGAACCGAACTGGAAGCCAGTGCAGTGAGGCCAGAATTGGGGTGATGTGGTCACGCTTTTTGTGGCCAGTCAGCAAAAGTGCAGCTGCGTTTTGGACTAGCTGCAGGCGTTTAATAGAGGCCTGGTCCATACCCACATACAGAGCGTTGCAATAGTCCAGTCTCGAGGTAACAAAGGCGTTAATAACCCTTTCTAAGTCTTTAAAAGATAAATACGACTTGGTTTTGGCCAATAATCTATAATAATAAACGTAATAAAATACTTGCACCAACTGATTCTAAAACATCTCTGAGAAGGCAAGAGGGAATGCTGTCTGAGGTGCAGTTTGTCGGCCGCAGGTGCTTGACTACATCCGAGAGAGAAGAGAGGGATACAGGCTCAAAGTGGTCGAGGACTGCAGGGCACAGAAAAGGAGCAGGATCTGGGGTAGCACTAGTGTGGGCTAGCCTAAGAGCAGATACTTTTTCAATAAAAAATGTAAGAAACTTATCACAGAGAGTAGTCGATGGCACAATTGAAGAAACATCACAGGGATTAATGATAGAGTTGAGGACATTAAAAAGAACCTGAGGTTTATGGCTGTTTTTGGAGAATAACAGAGAAATGTGCTCTGTTTTGGCTGCTTTGACTGCCGTCTGGTCGGAAAGGCAAGCACGAAGGATTTCTAGGGAGACATGGAGTTTATCCTTTTTCCATTTTCTCTCTGCACGCCTGCAAGCGCGTCTGAGAGCACGAGTACAGTCATTGAGCCACGGCTCTGAGAGAACTTTGGTGCGTCAAAGCGTAAAAGGAGCAACAGAATCCAGTATTAGGGTACATGTCGAGTCAAACATGGAGATAAGCTCATCAGCATTAAAAGCACAGTTCACATCTAATTTACAGATAGGAGAGGCATTAAAAACATCAGAGAACTGTGAGGCAGTCAAGGGGTTAATCGAACGCAGACGACGCGCAGGGGCACGTGATTCGACTCCTGCGGAAGGGATCGAGGTTGTAAACAGAACCGGTAAATGGTCTGAGATACGCGTTGCTGCACATATTTCATCCACAGATACAGACAGTCCAAACGATAATACTAAGTCCAAAGTGTGTCCTTTTTCGTGTGTTGGGCCAGCCACGGACTGAACGAGACCAAAAGAATCAAGGAGATTTAAAAAGTCCCTAACCAGAGGTTTGGACTCGCAACACACCGGAAGTCTCCGGAGATCAAAACACGATCATATTTCACCATGATCCCGGACAGAAAGTCAGAAAAGTCATTTATGAAATCCTTATTGCACTTTGGCGGACGATACACGACTGCACAGAGTATAGGCGAGGCCGGGTTCAGTTCAAAAAGCTGCAACTCAAAGCTAGCATAGCTAGTTACAGGGTGGAGCAATCGGCATTGGAGGCTAGCTCTAAACACTGATGCTATGCCCCCACCATGGCCGGTGGCACGGGGGGAGGTGAAGAATGTACAGTCAGGAGGAAGAAGTTCAGAGAACGGTGTATACTCGCCAGCGTGGACCCAGGTCTCCGTCAGAAACATAAAATCCAGTTCACGAGAGGTGAAGAAGTCGTTTAGCAGGAACGTTTTGTTTGCTATCGACCTAGCATTTAGCAAAGCCATGCAAAGTTTTCGCTCCGGGCTTGCCGAAGGTGTAGTGCGTCTCAGCTGACGAAGATGTGCGTGTTGAACGCCGCGCGGGCCGGGAGCAGTCCGTCGGGCAGGAGGAGCTGTCAGCGGGCCCAGCAGAGGCCGCAGCTCTGGAAAAACAGGGCGAATCCATCGATCCCTCACATGGCGTGCAGCGGGAGGGCCATGACATCCGAGGCGTGAGTAAGTCCCAGAAGAAGCCGTCAGGTATGCTTTTTGATGGACCAGAGCACCACCACGCTTTCCCCGTTGTCTAAAGCGCTTTCGGCGAGGCAGGATGCAGGGCAACCGGCGCAGGTAGGTGGGAATATCCGACAGTAGAGGTGGGGGGGCGATTTATGGTTGCCAGATGTAGGTTTGGGCAGCAATATAAACTCCAGTGAGGGTCTGAGGTGGAGGAGAGCTTGGCGATCGTAGACGAGCAGAGCAGAGACATTCTGACAAACATAAAACAAAAACAGGATAGCTAAAGGCAGAGAGCTGAGGGAGCGGCGAGCCGACACAGGCGCCATCTTCCCACACACTGGTCACAGCTGTACGGTCTCTCCGTAGTGACAAGCGTCAGTCTGTTCTTCTTCTCTCGGTTATCACGCAGTCTGTCTGTCTTCCGGTTGTTGCCTCTTTTGAATGACGAATACACACTACCGCCGCCTGCTGGTAAGGAGAGTTATTGCCACTCACGCATGCGCAGTTCGTACGTGCTTCTTGGCGGACATGGCCAAAACGCAGAGACGCGAGGCGACGCAACAGTTGGGGGTCCGTCTGTGTCAGTTCTTTGTTGTCAGATTGGTGAGTCCTTAGCACTGAATTAATTGAAAAAAATGTGTGAATTTGTTGTGCAATATCATCATATTCCAAGAAGAAACCAGTGCAATGTAATCTGTACATAATGCCTTAAAATATATAATGAACTGCCTGCTGCCTGGCACAGATTGAAAACACACACACATTTGATTGAACCCTCTTGATGCATGAAATGAACCTGCAAGATTGCTGTTATTTCATGAATGTGTATGTAGCCTTCAAGACATGGGGAA